GATACACCAATAGATGTGAAAGATTCTTTCGTTTTCTCCTGGAAAGCCCTCTTGAGATCTAACCCCTCTGTAATAGAGGATTCTCTCCAGCAGTTAATCAAACCCCGCTGGAAAATATTGAACCTGGTGTATAGGCTCAAGGGCTTAAACGAAGGGTCGGGACGTGTACGTCGCCCACCTAACAGTTTGGGAGATACTGTCGCTGATATTTTAGAAGGGGAGATTGTAGTGAACTGGCCTGTGGGGACAGCAGCAGATAATACTGTCTCCACCTCTTGGGGGCCCAGCAAACAACAACACAACGTTTTGGTGTATGTCATGGGCGCCAACACATGGTGTGTGATTTTTTCCTACTATATCCATTTATCAGTGATGCAGATTACATGGTGAGTTTAAATATGTGGCCTGTAGTTATAACTTTTCTCTTGACATATGCAAGACATCACCATCCCTGTAGAAGCCATTATTAGATGTACTAGTCATTATATTTTGTTGTTGCAGAAGTACTATGAAGATTCTATGTTCAATAAAGCCTAGAGATAAGGCCTGTGTTTCTATCACAACACTCAGCATTGTAATCCTTATAGAAAATAAACTTTGAATGAATGAGTACTGTCTGTCCCTGAACTGCACATGGTTCAAGTAATCTCGATATGTCTCTTCGTGTTCAGGGGGCGGCTGGTCACCCTTAATCCCTACTACATCCAGATCCCATAGTTTATGGACCAGCTCACTGTCGGATATGCCAACTTGCGTCTCTGACAGATCTTCGTGCACACCAATCCGCATCACCAGTACAGCCTCAGTCGCTGTAATACCAGAGCCCTCCTTTCCTGGGGTCGCAGGGAAATGAGCTGGTACCCTGCCTCCTACGATGTACCCCGCTGGAGTCCTGTACAGGCCAACACCCTCCTTGATAACCCTTCTCGTGGACACGAACTCGCCTATGTAATTTCCTCCTACCAAGATTCCTACATTAATAACGTTGTAGTAATGTCTGGTTCCGCTAGCTTCACACCCAACTCCCTCAAACGTTTGACTACTGCGGCCAGTCCCTTAGTGGTAATGATATTGGGCAGCCTCTTCACTATCAAGGCTGAAATTTCCCATCGATGCCCGTCTAACCTGACCGTCACATTGACTACTGGATAAGACCTGCGTGGGATTTGCCCACCAAACCCTTCCACCTTCATGTCAACTTTACCACCTGTCTTCAGCTTCAACCGAGTTGCTAGACTCTCTGTTATGAAGGATCTCTGTGCCCCACTGTCGAAGAACAAACGGGTCATTTCATACTTCTTCCCATTCGTAACCACCGCCATTATGGTGGGCAAGGCCACCGAACCTTGAAACTGCTCGCCAGAACAAATTCCCGGTGCCGCACTCACCACACTCATCACTACTTCAGACTTGTCCTTGCTCTCCGCCCTTTCTTGCGGTTTGCTCTCCTTAGCTTGTGCTGATCTGGTGTCATTAGGACACAGTGCACTGTGGTGCTTACCTTTCTGGCAGCCCCGACACTCATTGAGTTGGGCGCTACAGTCCCTGGCAAAATGTTCTCCACAACACTTGAAACAAAGTCTCAACTCCCCTTAGTCGTTGAACCCTTTTGTTATAGGTGGTGAAGCTCGAGCACCCTGAACTAGCGTGTTCTCCTTCACAAAACAAGCACTGTTTCATTCTGGCTGTTTTAGTGGCTTCTCCCTTGGCCCTGTGGGTGGAGGACTCGCCCTGGGCATAATACGTGTCGACCCTAGTAAGAGGTGGTTTAGGTCTATCTCTCAAATGTCTGGGGAAGTTGGCCGACTTCTCCTTGGTAGGTAATTTCTCCCCATGACCTACGCTCAGGTGAGATATGAGATCCCCCAACCCTTCAACAATTTGTTGTATCGTGAACCTATTCGTCCGATATTTTAAGTGTAACTCATGCACTGTAGTGCTAGCCAGTTTCCTCTGAATCACCTGGCTAAGGACCCATTCTGAATCATCCTCATCATGCAAATCTCTGAAACTATTTGTCAAGCTCATAATTTCAATACGGAACTTCTCTAGGCTTTGACGGTCATGTCGGCAAGCCTCTAGATCCAACAACCGATAAAGTATGGCCACTTTTATCTCTTCAGTGTTGCCAAACATGTCTTCTAATTGGTCTTTGGCATGTTGGTAATTAGTGTCAGTAATCTGGAAGTGCCGGACCAAGTCTAAGGCTTTATTGAGCTGTGACTGCAAATACTGCAATTTGACGGCATCTGACAAATCGTTCCTGTCATCTATCTGGGCTTTAAACTGATCCCAGAAAGCAATGTACTCAGGGTTCCGTCAAATGTCGGTAAATTCAACTGGGGCAACCTGGGCAACATATTGACAGGTGTGTGGCTGTTTGTGGTACCTGCGGTGTTCGACACCACGCTTAGAATACTAGCCTTTAATGTACTTAACTTATCTTTGTACGTATTCATCTCCTGTTGACAATCTACATCATCCTTAGTGAATTCGTCCTGAGCCTGCCGAAGACTATCCTGGGATTCACCATCCTCAATAGCCTGTAGCTCATATGCTGAGAATGCTTGTTCGTAGGCTTCCCATTTTTCCCCCAAACGCTTCAAGCAGTCTTGCAAATCATCGCAGTCTACTTTACTGCTTTGGCAAGTATTATTATTATAATAAAAAAGAAGCACTAAGCCACAAGGACTATACAGGCGTTGGCAAGTAGCCTTGCACCTGATGTGCGTTCTGTTCAGATGCCCTTTGTATACCGCCACTGATCGTTTTAATTTTGCTAACACTGAATCATACTCTTTTGAACTCCCATCTGCCATTGTCGAGGTTTAATTAGGAGTGTGACACTAATTGTACTTTACCCAGTCCACCCCACAGCACGTCACGGTGTTAGGCAAGAATGAACGAGTCTCAAGGCTCCTCAACAAGTTAACGATTCCCTTTGTTATATTGACTCTACTCTGACTTAAAATGTACACTGTTAGCTCTCAAATCCCAATCAAAATGTGTATCGATGTGAAAGCTTAACCTAGCAATTTCCTGTACAATGTCAGCAAATAATTACAGGACTTAACCTAGTCTGTGGTACAAGTCACAAATCCCACATTAAAAATGAATCAAAGACAATGAAAATCACACAATAAAAATGCAGTACACAAATTAAAAATCACTTGGTTAGCACAAATAAATTCAACAATTCAACTTGTGAAACAGTAAATGAATAATGTTTGTAAACAGCTTGGCCTGTGCCCAGCTTACTCAGTCTAGCGTGGATGGTTGGATAAGATAAATCCTAACCTAATTAGTGTGTCATAGCTTAAACCTGGCTTTAGAACTCCCTGTAAATAATAACTAGGTTAAATCTGTCCTAGCTACTATAACTGTTGTAAATATTGCAAAAGCCTAGCCTAACTATGGCTACCTTGCAAATCCACTGTAAGTAATTAACGCACAGGTCTCCTACTCTGGATTACTTGTAATCACTGTAAATAATTAAATTCACAAGCTTCTCTAGCCTACCTGGCCTGCCTGTAAATTACTGCAAATAACAACTTCTGTGTATAGTCAGCTTGGCCTAGCCTCTGTGTAACTCTGGGCCTAGGTGTACTAACTTAACCTGTTAAACTGGTTCCTAACTGTGGCCTAGCTATCACAAGTGGCTTATAGGACAGATTTTCATAAATGACTGATGTTGGAAGAAATCTCACCTGCATGCACGTTTAAAGGACTAACTTACTTGGCGATGTAGATTCTATTTGGCCTTCAACCTCCCTAAGCTTAGCCACTTTGGACTTCCCCTCAGAAACCACGTGCAACCGGGAGCCTTAGTTCCTGCAGTATTCAATCGTTATTAGTGACATGCCTGCACCTCAGAAATTCCTATTTCCAAGGGTGGTGAAACCCCTAGAATACTATGCAGAAAGTGACACTAGCTTCTAGGCTGACTAGAGACACTGGTACGTACTGGGCATGCACTGCCAGCTGCACAAAGGCCTACAGCTCAACTCACTCGCAACTTTCCCCAGACACTGGCCAGAATCCTAAGAAAAAGTGGAGGTCTTGTCTTACTGTATGGGCCTGACGGAGGAGGTCATCTACGGTACATCGAGGTGCCTCCACCAGATTTCCCCAGGTCTAATATGTGAAGACACTTGGGGGGCACCGCCTGCTGATCACCGCACGTGTTGTTCAGATGGTGTCTAGTCTTAGAAGGAAGCTCTGGCATCTTTGAGACCCGTGCCTCGTCGTTCAAACTGGGGCTGCCAGTTCTCCCTAGCTAACATAACCTAGTGTTTGCCTACATTCGGCCTATTACTACCTATGTTAAGGTCTTAGGTCTACATTATTATCATATACAGTTGCCTTAATAATCCTAATATTAGCGTACTAACAGTATAAACTACCTACCTCTTCCCTGAAGGGTAAATCTATCAATTAAGAAGTACCCTCCAACCACCTTCACCAACCCGGGTGAGTGTGTTTGTGTTTTGGGTGGGTGTAAGGGCCCTCAAACGGTGTGTTTTTCCCCGTTGGGATTTCTCGGACTGAATAAGTTCCAACAGGCATGTCCTGCGAGGAGAGGTTAAGGGAAATCGACCTGATGACTGGAAGACAGGAGAGATGAGAGATATGATAACGATGTATAAAATTCTGAGAGGAATCGACAAGGTGGACCGAGATAGGATGTTACAAAGATGGGATACAGAAACAAGGGGTCACTGTTGGAAGTTGAAGATTCAGATGAATCACAGGGATGTTAGGAAGTATTTCTTCAGTCACAGAGTTGTCAGGAAATAGAATACTCTGGGAAGTGATGTAGTGAGGGCAAGATCCATATGTAGCTTTAAGTAGAGGTATGATAAGCTCATGGAGCACGGAGAGTGACCTAGTAGCTACCAGTGAAGAGGTAAGTCCAAGAGCTGTGTATCGACCCCTGCAACCAGAGCTAGGTGAGCACACTCGACTCACTCACACTCTCTTACTCACTTCTTTTATCCTCTTTACGTTGTCAGGTGGTTGCTGATGTTGCGATGAATATAATAGTGATGGTTTCTGGGTATATAGTGAATATAAGGAGAGTGAGCACAGTGGTAGGCATAATACTTCTCATTCCTTGTGAACGGGTGTGTCAGGTTGCCTCGAGCTAATACAGCCCCCAAGAAGCTGAAGGTACCATAGCTGGTGACAGTATGGTCACCCTGAGCCAGTATTGCCATGTCGAGCACTGGGTCTTTCCTGTTACCTGAAAAAGTGAGGGCGAAGAAGTATGTAGCAAGATCCCAAGAAATGCAGCTACCCCACCCTTCCTGACTGATGTTGTAGTGGCCAGGTTTAGGCTTGGTTACAAGTACTTCTGGCAGTTTGGGAGACACACAGATGATGATCAAACTAAATGCAAATTATGTGGTCAAGCATATGGTCACTGTCTTGAACACTATGTGCTTAATTGTCCTCTTATTGAGGAATACAGAGACAGACAGTATAATAACCTATGTGACATGTCAAGATATCTTATTAATGAAAATAAGATACCAGATGTGGAAAATTTTTAATTTTCCGAAACTATAGCGCCTAATAGGTGTTTTATGTGCCGATATGAGTCAAAAATGTATTTGAAAATAGAGTAGAACCAAGATTTCCCTTTACGCATGCGCGGATGTGCGGGGGGGAGTGGCGGGTTTGTTTTGAAGGTGGAGAGGAAGCGGGGAAAGCATGGAACCACGAAATTGGCATTCACGGCGGCCTAAGGATTAATATAGGCCTCAATTCGTAATAGGAAGTGTCGTAACTGTTCCTAGTGGAGAGTGAGGGAACGTGATTTACGGGACCTCGGTAATAGAGTGGTAAAATGAGTGAATAAGGGTAGGACCGATGGTGACTGGCGCGTCGTCATGGACTGTGTCCCGGGGAAAATTACCCTTGGTTTAATCATCACTCATCGGTCTCAGATCTTAATGGAGTGATCTCTGATGTGTATAATAATTATGAGCCATTAAATCGTCTTGTGAATTGTAATGTAATTAATGATAATAACGCTAAGTTAAGAGAATGCATGAAGTGAAATAAGTCGTTTTGCTCTGAGTGAACACGTGAGACCTCGTTGTTCCCGAGACGAGGAAAGTGAAGCTCCTTGAGTCACGACTTTTAAAGCGGGACAAACCAACGGATACCTCGTCCTGCTGGAATGAGAACCGTGTCGGTGTAGCAGGACATCGAAATGAGATGGTGAATGGAGGAAATAAGGAGTATCAATCACCCACAGTTAAGTAACCCTTCTAGTTATAACAGACTTATGCTGGCCAGTTGTGTTATGTTGTAATTAGATAGGTTATGAGTGATCCAGCTACATCAAGTGACCACCAGAGAACATCTGGTAAGTGGTGGGATTATGTACAAATGTTTTCCTTGATGGATGTATCCAGGTGTATCCTACCCCCCCCCCCCTTCATTCAGCTAAACTAATATAATCTATACAGTCCACAATTAATTAGTAGCACCGTACTTGTGGGTGTTATCCAATCCATACTGGTCTCGGATAGATATGGATAAGATTGTGAGGTCGAAGGGACTACTTGCCGCGACCAGGGGTGGTTAAGTTTTCTCACATGTCTACACGGGGTGACTACGGTAAACAATATGATTGTCTCCCAATGAGTTTACTGGTATGTATATAATGTTGAGGTACATACAGGTAAGCACCCTAGAAAATTTTCCATACCAGATATACTATGCAAATTTCTTAAATTTGCTTGTAACAGATAAGTGAACTAGATGTAAATCCACATGTACATCTGTTAACCCTTTTGGGGCCTAGTTCCTAGGCCTTTTGTGTATCCATATGCTCTTGCGCTACCGTCCACAGGATAGATATGGGGTGCACAATAAATTAGCCACTTCGGTGGCAGAATCTAATCTTCTCAGATCAAACTTGAATGTCTTCCATCCCCCAGGCACTGTAACTGTGGAAAATTTTTAATTTTCCTATATTCAGCATGAGTAAATATGAATAATATAATAATTGTGTATTAAAATGTGACGCTCATTTGACCCTTCAAAAAATTTTGTGAAGGAGAGTGTTCAGCAGCCGCAGAGCGATACAGGGGGAGGGGGACACCATAGTGAATTAATGTGTGAGCACTGGTTGTGGTGAAATCGTCTAAAATCCTACATCATCGAGGCCATAATTGAGTGGATTGGCCTCAAACTATAATAAGTACTGGAATGTCCCCTGCTGAAGAATAGTAACAGTGAATTTGCGGGGCCTCCAGAATTAAGTGGTGATAGTGGAAATAATGAGGCAACATCACGCAACACATCCAATATGTACACCATTAGTCCTTTCATTTAGATTTCTCACTGGCCAGTAGGATTCTATTAGGCGTTGTGGGGCGATCCAACTACAATATAAATGGTAAGTGGTAATAAAAATTTCATAATTATCTAACTTTTGGAACGTATGTGCCTGGAGTTTACCTGGAGTCAATTAGAAAATTATTACCCTGTCTCTCTGTTTATTAGTGTTCCCATTAATCTTTCTGGAGATCGTTTCCTTTAATTTTCATACAGTCCACATTATTTTATAATTTACCATTATTGGTATTAATGCTTAATATTGTAATTATTAATTTAATGTCAGGCTAAGCTTTTTTTGAGAGTGGTGAAGGAGTGGGCATCGAAGAAGTGACAGTCCTGTGACTACCGTGACTAAGTCCCACTTACCTCACCCAAATTACTTAAATGTAAAAATTCAGGTAATACCCTGTAAACCTCATTCAAGTAATTTCTCAGAGTAACCTTTACAGGTTACGGTGCCTGGAATAACCGTGAAATATAATATACCGTGAATATAATATACTGTGAATATAATATAACTGTGAATATAATATGAATGAATATAATATAACCGTGAAGATAATCATGCGGGAAATGACTTGCTAAAACATTTATATATGATAAGTAAGACCCATGCGTAACACTGCAGCTAAAACACAACGGTTTATTGGTACACAGGACATTTTCGACAACTTCACTGCCTGACACTAGTTATTAAATAATAACTACCTCATTTTGTGATTTTACTAGTAAGCATAAGTCACCTTATCTAATTTTCTTATTTACTATTGTTTGCTTAAACATTAGCTGAATCGATACTTTCTCTGTCCATATTACAACCTATTTTTTTAAATACTATCAATTGATATTACTTACTAAAATTAATAATTACCATTTTTACTATCAGTACAATTTACTCTTAACATTTTTGACATCATTTAATAACCATTACTTGTCTAATTACCTTTACCTGTTTTATACCACATTTACTATCTTAGAGTACTCTTAATTACCTTGTACTGCCATATAACCTCTAGTATAACTACCAGCAATATTGAAAGAAATAAACATTACTTTTCATTTATTTTGTAATCATTATTACTTACTAAAATTTTATTAAACACCATATTTACTACCAGTCAATTTTACTTGTGTACATTAAACATTATTTTATACTTCCCATAACATTTTGTTGCCAAATTTTCAAGTTTGTATATTCAACTCCAACCTTTATATTATCCTTTGTACCTGTGTACCTGTCTACCAACTTACTATCATATTATAACCAAGACATTGCCATTGTTATTTTTTACTTATTATTCTTTTGGTACTTTAATTTGTGAATTTTATTTTGTCAATTTAAATCTAGTTATACTTTTGATCTTGTCAACAACCTATACCAGACCCTAGTGCAATTGCAAGTACCATTTCAATTTGTATTTTTATATTATAAGTTTATATTATAAGTCCTATTCTAAGATTGTTTTCATATCTATTTCAATTATATTATTGTTCAAGGCCCTTAACTATCTTTTGCTAACTAGTACAAACTACCTCATATATTTTTTTTTCTACTTTTTTTTTATTATTTTGCTACCTTAACTTGCATATTTTATCTTGTCAATTTAAATCTAGTTATACTCTAATTCTTGTAAACAACTTATATAACACATTAGTGCAATTACAATTGAGAGTCTTGTGCCTTTTTTATATCATTAGATTAAGCTCATTCTAGCTCAATACATAGTCAATACCAAATTCATTATATTAGACCATAGTGTAATTACTAGTGAGAGTCTGGTGCTATTTTTAATTTGTATTTTTATATTATTAGTTTATACCTAGTTGTACTTTGGCTCATTCCAGCACAACACATAGACAACACCAACTCCATTATGTGTATTAGTGACTATACTCTACATGACCAAAATGCTATAGCTATACACTTGTCCAAACTTCCCACCACTACAGATATCAGTACTAAAACTCAACACACAACTCAGGATATAAATAACCATAATTTAAACCTAGAAGATGATTGATCACGTTGACCCTGATCTAAACCTCCATAATCTGACACACAATCAAAACCTATTGGAAAGTAACTGCCTTTACTACACAGCATCACAAGCCAGTACTATCTTAAACAATGCTAAAAGTCTATCAGTACTTAACTACAACATTAGGTCCTTAAGCAAACACTATGATGACCTCCTGGCAATCCTTGAATCACTAAAGACACCCTTCTCCTGCATTATTCTTACTGAGACCTGGCTTAAGCAGGACACAATAGATATCTACCCTCTACCAGGAAACACAGCAATCCACAACTGCAGACCATACCAAGTTGGGGGTGGTATTGCAATCTATTACTCTAACCAATTATCTTGTATTAGCATCACTTGCTTTAGTGATGAATATGGAGAATACATTTTTGCTAATTTTACTGTAAAAAACCTTAAGACGCCTATAACAATCGGTGCCATTTACCGGATACCCCACACAAACATCCCAAATTTCAGAGAGAAATTAAAGGCACTAATAACAAACAGACAAATGAATAAGCACCACCTTCTCTTAGCTGGAGACTTCAACGTCAACCTTGGCCTACTAGATGATCAGCCTGTAACTGATTTCATCAACAATATGAATAACACACTTCTCATACCAACAATAACTAAACCAACCAGGCTCACTGAAACAAGTGCAACCATAATAGACCACATATGGACCAATATACTAGCCCACCTTAAATCAGGGATAATCACAGATAGCACTACAGACCACTACCCTACCTTCCTCTTGACAAACATTAGTAAACCACCACTTGAATACAACAAAGTTTCATTTAGACTCCATGATGAGGCCTCAATAAGGAAGTTCACAGCTGACCTAGAGACTGTTGACTGG